ACTCCCCAATCGGCCCTGCTCTGAGCCCGACCAGGGGCTGCACCTAGGGATTGGGCCTGCCCTCTGCCACCCGGGAGCAGGCCTAAGCCAGCAGGGCGTTATCTCCCGAGGGGTCCCAGACTGCGAGAGGGCACAGGCCGGGCTGAAGGACCCCCTCACCCCACCTCGTGCACAAATTTTTGTGCACCGGGCCTCTAGTAAGAATAATATAGAAGAACAGAAGATTATCACAAAATCTCTTTCCTGTCATCTTTAGGATTTTTTCTTAAATAAACAAAAAAAAATAGAGTTCTTTACGACATTTTTTGAAAGTTAAATTCACTAATTTGGGTGCAAGTCAAAGAAAGTTAAAATGTCTAGGGAGAATTTCCATTTGTAGTCATAGACAGCCTGTATTAGTATACTTCTAAAAGAATGCTTACTTAAAAAAATTTTTTTTTACTCCTTACCTGAGGATATTTTCCAATGATTTTTTAGAGAGAGTAAAAGTGAGGAAGCAAAAAGGGAGAGAGAGAAACAGCAACATCTATTAGTTGCCTCCCGCTCTTGCCCGGTCTGCGGGCCAATGCTCTAACCACTAAGAAACTGGCCAGGGCTTACAGTCTCGTTTATTAAAAATGTCCTTAACTCAGAAACAATAAAAAGATCTCATTAGTCTTATTGATAAAATTCAAAGAAGCTGATAAAATGAGATTTCAAAACAATTTTTATCTGCTTAAACCCAAGTTTCATTATAGAAATATAAACTTAGGTGATTTGAAAAGTTATATTCAGTCATACATATTTATTTATATTTTAAATCAGTTGCTGCTCTTTCTGCTTTGCCATACCTATTTTGCAATAATCTGATGACTATGACAGTGATTCTCTTATGAACTTAATTGATTACGTATAATAGGTAAATAAATTTGATTAAGAGATTGTCATTGTAAAGGCAACATGAAAACTTCCATTGGGGTAACTGCAAGAAGGAAAAAAGAATAGTTGTTTACTTATATCTATATTTAGAATAATTTTTATAACTCTTCCCAAAAAAATCCAAAAACCAATTGCAATTATGAAAAAGATATAGCTATTCAGATGGGTAGAAGGAGAAAGATTGGAAAGAAACACATATCAAAACATTAACAGTAATTATAAGTAATTTTAATATTTTTATTTTACTTTCTGTTTTATGAAGTCTTCTACAATATATATTACTTTTATCAACAGAAAAAGCTATTTTGAAATAATAAACAGAATTGTCAAAAAGCTACAACCTAACAGTGTTTCTATGTTAATTAAATGGTAATTTGTTTCAATGAATAAGATCAGTTTTTATTGCTATTATACAGATAATGTAAAGGTTATGAAATTCTATAACTAAACACTTGGTTTAAAAAAGAAGTTTTAATTGAATTTTTTCCTATTTATTGGATTCCGTATAAGATATTAAAAGGAAGAAGAGCCCTGACTGGTTTGGCTCAGTGGACAGAGTGTCGGCCTGTGGACTGGAGGGTCCCAGGTTCGATTCTGGTCAAGGACATGTATCCTGGTTGCGGGCACATCCCCAGTGGGGGGTGTGCAGGAGGCAGCTGATCGATGTTTCTCTCTCATCGATGTTTCTAGCTCTCTATCCCTCTCCCTTCCTCTCTGTGAAAAATCAATATAAGATATTTCTAATAATTTGCTTATATGAGATTAACAAATTTAAGAAACATCACTGTAACTAAAAATGGAGAATAAGTGCCAAAACCGGTTTGGCTCGGTGGATAGAACGTCGGCCTGCGGACTGAAGGGTCGTGGGTTCGATTCCATCTAGGTCATGTACCTGGGTTGCGGGCACATCCCCAGTGGGGGATGTGCAGGAGGCGGCTGATCGATGTTTCTCTCTCATCAATGTTTCCAACTTTCTATCTCTCTCCCTTCCTCTCTGTAGAAAATCAATAAAATATATTTTTTAAAAAATGGAGAATAAAAGTAAGGATGTTTTTATTGCTCCATATCACTTATAAAATCCAGTTTATTCTATGCAATATTTTCCATGAATATTAAAAAGGTTAATAAAATACCTACATTGAGAGCAATCAGGATGATGTCATTTAGATTGAATTTATCAGGAGAACTTGTGCAAGCTTCAATACCTTCATCTGAAAGATACCTGTTAAGATAAAAATAAATGACTTAATATTTTCTACAATTGAAATTAACCAAATTATCTGTTTAAGTTAGCATGCAATTTTGTTCTCTACTATGAAATGCTCCTACAAATGCTAAGGAAGGAGTCCTGGATATTCCCTGTTTATTCAGTATGTCTGATAGAACAGAATGGACAGTGTAGATTTTTCCTCTTTTGTATCCTTAAAAGAATAGTGTGTTTATACAATTAAACATCAATATATTTAAGGAATGTATAAGCTACTCTTTACTATTATACAAATATAATATCCGACTTAAACATTTGGGAATATGGCAAGCTCTTAGAGATTGGGATGCACTGTGAAAATAGAACTAAAAATAACATAGTTTTAAATTAAGTCCAACAGAAATTTCCTGTGCTACATTCTCACATTATCTTCTCAAGTCCACTTTCTTTGCCATAATGTTCCCAACAACCCTTCAACTACTGACTCCAAGTGGCACAAAGATAGGCAAATTAGGCAACTTTTACCTTATATCTTTTACTTTCCATGACTCTTTTCAGTTTTTTTACTCATTGTCTTATTGCCCTTTGTTCTTTTATCTAGTCCGAACCAACCATGCACCTGTTGCAGGCAATAATTAATTCAAGACTACTGAATCTGAGGGAGGGAGATCATTTCTACTCATTCATTTATGCTCAAGACTACCATTTTGAAATTCTTTGACAAATTCCATAACCCAGGTTTCATCCCCGCAAAAGTTCACGTATACAAATGCCCATTAGCATCTGACATGTTCTGTAATCCATATCAACTCCTTTGACAACAGGGCTAGTGCTAGCTAGCCCTGCCACTAAGAGTATTTTCCCATTAAAAAGATAGAGGAGTACAAGTCTGACAGCTAACTCAAGCTCATTCCTCATGGCCAGAAATTCAACCCCCAACATTAGACTGATTCTAAGACACTTGTCAATATAAACTCTATTTGGAGACAGCAACCAAAGGGCATATGCCTGTAGGAAACACAGAATGAGTGAATTCTCTAAAGTAAAAGAGCAAGTGTAATGATATGTAAATTGAAGAGTGTAAAACAACAGGAGATTAAAGCTGATAAGCCTATGAACAAGATCAAGGAGATAAAACCTGGAAAGTATAGATATAAAACAAAGCAGGATTGTGTTAACAAAATTAGATATTAACTTTAAAACCAAAGCAGTGCTAAACTACAATGATGAATGAAGGCAAGTAGTTAAGTGGATTACAGGGAGAAGAAAAAAATAGAAGTGTTAAGTACGCAGATGACTCTGTAAGAATAAATGAATAGGAGGCACTTATAATAGAACATAAGTGACCATGGAATACAAATGTTTGCAGTCAGCATAGATGGTTAAAACACTACTTTAATTCAAAATGACTAAGTGAATTTCCTTATGATCCTGTTAGTTTTTCACTGTTCATAGCTATTGACTTTATCTGTCATTAATCATCTTATAAATTCAGTTCTACAAATATTAAGACCTTACTTATGTGAAAAATATTATGTGATTCAGTAATAAGATTAATAAAATGATAAAAATTAAACACCTGCCTTCAAGGAGTTCACACTCTCATTCATATACAGCATAATACAATACATAGAGAGCTATCATACAAGGCCAAAATAAGTATAAACAAAATGTTATAGCGGCTCAAAGTGGCCAAGGGATGGGAATGATACTTAAAAGGGAATAGTATGAGCAAAAACATATAAGTACAAGAGTGTGAAGCACATTCTAGAGCAAATAAACTGGAACATTCTGACTGGGAAATGGGGAAGAAATGAGATTGGTATAAGTTGAGACCAATTTTAGAAATCAACAGTACACAAAGAAATATGGGTGATATATTAATGCTGATTGAGTAATTTCAAAAACACAACTTTCAAAATTCCTACACAGTGGGAAAGTAATATGGAATGACTAATAAAATACTTTCTTTTCTAGAAAGGCAACTCTTTAGCATTGAAAGGTTATAGAATGTCATGGAAGAGATCATTAAAATAATCAAAGTTCACCTCTTCAATTTTACAGATGAATAAAATGCCCAAGTTGTTAATTAAACCTGCCCCAAAATACAAACTAAAGTGATGCAAAGTTAAGACAAGAATGCTTCCTGACTCTCAGTTTAGCAGTCTTCATTACAACATACCATTTTTATTTAGCAACTAGAGGCCCAGGGCACGAATTCGTGCACGGGTGGGGTCCAGCCCAGCCCACCCTGATTGGGGCTGATGGGGGCCGGCTGACCGGGGGTAGGAGCTGCGGGAGGTTGGACACCGGCCCTGGCCCAATCAGGGCTGATCGGGCCTGGGCCAATCAGGAGCGGGGCCAGCAGGGGAAGGGGCTGTGGAAGTTTGGCTGGCTTTGCCCTCGATCGGGCCAGATAGCTGGCAGCAGTGGGTGTCATAACGACCAGTTGTTCCAGTCGTTCCAGTGGCTTCTGATATATAGATAGATAGATAGATACATACATACATACATACATACATACATATGGTGGAGCCTTGACTTACAAGTGTCCTGACTAACGAGTTTTTTGAGATACCAGCTGTCTCTCGGCCGATTTTTTGCATTGCGTTGATAGAGTAATTTGAGTTAACAAGCTCCTTAACAACCTCCTTAACGAGCTCAGTCTCAGAACGAATTAAACCCGTAAGTCAAGGCCCCACTGTAGATAGATATAGATATAGATATATAGATATGTACATATATCTATATATACATAGATATATACATAGATATATATACATATCTATATATCTATATCTACACTAATAAAAGAGAAACATGGTAACTGGCATACGACCACTACCCTTCCCATTGGCTAATCAGCGCGATATGCAAATTAACTTCCAGCCAAGATGGCGGCCGGCAGCCAGGCAGCTTGAAACTAACATGAGGCTTGCTTGGTTCAGTGATGGAGGACTGCAACGTTCCCCGCCTGCCTTGCCGGCCTCTGAGCTTGCAGTTTAAGAAACATTGTAACAAATATAGAAGCTAAACAAAACCCCAGAAACCTGCTTTCAGTGAGCCGGGATCTCAGAGCAGGAGTTATATGTTGTTTCGATTACAGAACCGAAACAAACCAGATAACTGCTTTCAGTAGTGGAGGCCTAAGAGCTGGAGCCTCAGAGCTAAAACTGGCCCAGAATAAAAAAAGAAAAAAGAAAAAAAGGAGCGGTTGGGAGGTTCCGTCACCCGCCAGCCTGAAAACAGCCCTCAGCCCCTCACCCAGACTGGCCAAGCACCCCAGTGGGGACCCCCACCCTGAATGGTGTGTGACCAGCTGCAAACAGCC